AAAGAAAGAAAGAAAGAAAGAAAGAAAGAAAGAAAGAAAGAAAGAAAAAGAAAGAAAGGAAGGAAGGAGGGAAGAAAGACAGAAGAGAAAAATAGTAGTCATGACTGAATTCTTTAAAATGCAGAGAATAGAAGAGCAGAAGAAAACACAAACAAGAAATACAGTTTTCAAAGTAACATACTGAATTTATTATATATACATACTTTATAAAAGAAAATGTAAGTAATGGAGGTTTGTGGCTTATTATATAATCCTCCCTTTCTGTTCTACTTTTTTATATGGAAATACTATTTTTTGGTTGTTTGTCCAATTCAGAATGAAAAATAATACAAATCCAAACAAACAACAAGAAAATATCTCTGAGGAATCTTTTAACTTTACTCCTTTCCTTTGCTACCATAAAAATAATGCCTTTGACTTTCAAAGGACTTATTTCACCAAATCAATTCCTGAAATGGCCAGAGGAACACAAAAAGAGAATAGGAAAATTCCAATAGTGTTTGTGATGATTCTCCATGCAGAGAATGTTCTGTCATTGGAAACTCAGTCTCAATTTCACTTGCCCTATGTTAACTTTTAACAATGTGGGATTATGAATCATTTCTATAGTAATGTCACAAAGTAAGTTACAACATGATGGGATTGGGCAGAAACACGGAGGGCTGGATTTAGATTCAGGAACACCTGGTCATAAATCGCACCTCTGACACTTGCTATTTATGTAATCATTGCTGAATCACTTGACATATATGTGCCTTTGCCTCTGGCAACTCCCTAGGAATTATCTATTAAGTCACATATGTTCCTCAAATTGAAGACATTGCATATGTCTTATGCATCAGGTCACAGAAAGAAAAAAAAGTATTTTGATGTATTGTGAAATCTAAATGATATGGCATGGATTTTCTTCTTAAATTTTTAAGTAATAAAAATCATATTTTTGGTCTGAAATAAACACAATTTTCTTCTACTTTCCAATCCTGTGATTTCATCTTGTGGCTAAATTAGTAGTGTACTATAAATTGTATTTCTTCAATGTTGAATGTTAAATATATAACAGGAAATGAAGGGGGTAGATGACTTGGGAGGAATCTTTCAGGTATGACATTCTGTGATAAAATTGAGAAAGGTTCAAGCTGGAATCCCTTTTTAAAAAAAGCTATCAACAAATATTGTAAAAGCAGAGCATTTGAAACCACACATTTGGCCCTGAGTGTGACCCCCTTGACCTAGATATGTCTCAAAGTAGGGATTTTTTTTTTTAGAAAACTAGAAGATAAAACAAAGACATATTCATTTAAATTTGTTTTTCTGACCTTGGGCTTTTGGTGGAAGAGTAAAATCCAATATATGAGATTTCAGGAGAAAAATGTTATAAACATACTCAAGGTAACTCACTAGAATTGCTTCACAGCACCACATAGCCACAGTTACTAACCAAACCACTTCTTCTCACTAAACTCAAGAATGTGTAAAGATTATAAATGGTCATTTATAATGCCATTGGAAAATTCAGTGGTCAGACCAGTTTGCATCCTTCACAATTGTCTCCAAACTGACATGCATCTTTTATCACAATGCTTTATCATAAAAGTTTTTCATCAATGTCTTAATGTTTTTTGTTTTTCCTTATAATTCTGATCCACATATAATACTTTCTGGATTGAAATCACAGGGGCAGCTGGTGGCACAGTGGATAGAACACTGGCCCTGGAGTCAGGAGGACTTGAGTTCAAATCTGGTCTCAGACATTTGACACTTACTTACAGGGTCACACAGACCCTGGACAAGTCAATTAATCCCATTGTCTAACAAAAATAAACAAAGAAACAAAGGGATTATCATCCTTTAACTAGATTGAAATCAGAAACCACAAATGAGCGTATTTTCAGGGGAATCTATCCATCATTTAAAAATAGTATCAAAGTGAATGTGTTAAGCTTTTTTTTAAAAAAAATGATCAATTATTTTTTGTCTTGTGGTCACAGCTAGTAGGTTACAAGATTATTGCTGCTCCTTGAAAAGCTTCCACCAAATGAAAGAGAAATAAAAGAAGAAAATCACCCAGAAGGTTAGAACAAATGCCAAAATTGCCCTTCAGGAGAACCATAGCTGTTTTTATTGACATAATAAGAATGAAATTTTGAAAAATATTACTTTGCAGATGATCCAGGATAGGATAACTCTGCAGAGAGTACCTAATCAAAATCAAGACTATCTTAAAACATATTTGCTGAATTTGTTCAGTAAGGAATATTTTTAAATTCTAAGTTTTAAATGAGAAAGGGAACATATGATGATTCACTCATTTTGAAAAAGTAATAGGGGAATAGAGTAACCTGGAGAAAATTCAAAGACATCACAATATCAAAAACAAGGAAGGAGAAGATGAAATATTTACAGAGAAAAGATATGGGGAGGAGGAAAATGTGTGGAGGAGAAAGGAGAGAATAAAAAATTATGACACAATGCAATAGCATAAAAATCTATTCTCTTGAGCTACTGGAAGACAGGCAACTAATAATGGAGGGTAAGTGCAGGAAGAAGCAAGGAGGGAAAATGTCTCCAAATGCATCAAAACACACATCAAACCTAATTGAAGCAAAAGCTGTTCCTTAAATTTGGATTCTCAATAGAGTCTTTCACACTTGCCTGAGTAGGAGGAAGGGTGGGATTAATAGGCTTCAGGAACTTGAATTCATTTGTCCCTGAGCCACTGGTCAGACAGACCTCATAGTTCTAGTTCTGGGACAAGGTCCCTGTCCCACTGACATCCACCAAGTAACTTGGGAAAGGACCATTTGGATCAAATTGACTACCATCATTAGCATCCCTCTTCCTCTTCCACAGGTGAATGGCAATGAACATAATAACAGAGAACAGGAAAAGACAAGAGACAGAGGCCAGGGAAATGACTAGGTAGGTGGTAAGAGAATCAGTCTGCACCTCCTCCTTGGTTGCATCTGGGAGCTGAATGTAGGGCTCAGAAAAGCCATCCACCAGGAGCACATTCAGTGTGGCTGCTGTGGACAGAGGAGGCTGTCCATTGTCCTTCACCAGCACCAAGAGCTTCTGCTTGATGGCATCTCTGTCACTGATGGGTCTTGCTGTTCGAACTTCCCCATTGTGGGCCCACAAAGTGAAGAGTCCTGGGTCTGTGGCCTTGAGCAGCTGGTAGGAAAGCCAGGAATTCTGTCCCCAGTCCCTATCCACAGCTACCACCTTAGTCACCAGGTAACCTAACTCTGCAGCTCTGGGCACCAGGTCATTGCAGGGAGCTGTGCCATTCTGAGGAGGGTACAACACAAAGGGAGAGTTGTCATTTTCATCTTCTACCAAAACCTGAACCACAGCCTGGCTGCTCAGAGATGGGGAACCACCATCAGTGGCCCTCACATTAAATTGGAAAGCTTGGATGGCTTCATAATCCAGGGATCTCAGAGCATAGAGATGGCCGTTGTCTGAGTTGATGGAGATGTAGGAGAAGAGGGGCAGTTCTCCAATCTCTGGAGGCAGCAGGGAGTAGGTGACTCTGGCATTGATTCCTGAGTCTCTGTCACTGGCACTGACACTGCCAATGTGGAGGGCAGGGCTGTTGTTCTCCTGGAGGTACAGTTTGTAGGCTCTCTGGGTAAACACTGGGGGACTGTCATTGACATCGGAAATGAACACTTTGATATAGTGCTCAGATTTGAGCCTGGGGGATCCCAAATCTGTGACTGTAATAGTGATGTTGTAGTCAGCCCTACTCTCTCTGTCCAGTGCTCCCTCTGTTACCAATGTATAGAAGTTCTCAACGGAAGGTTTCAGGGCAAAAGGAAGATCATCCTGAATGGAGCAAACCACCTTTCCATTTTCCCCAGAGTCCAGATCTGAAACTCTGAAGACAGCTACCGCAGTTTCAAGAGAATTCTCTGGGATGGGACTGGTAAGTGAAGATATGGTCAATTCAGGGGGATTGTCGTTTAGATCCATCACCTGAATGATAATAGTACATTTCCCAGAAAGGCTTCCACCATCTGTAGCCTGAATGTTGATGGTGTAAGACTGAATTAACTCAAAATCTATTTTTTCCTTTAAATAAAGTTCCCCAGATTTCTCTGATAGCTGAAACGTTTTACGAATGATTTCAGAGGCATGCAAAAATGTGTAGGATATATCTGCATTATTTCCTGCGTCTAAATCTGTCTCTGAGACTGTGACAACTCGGGATCCAATCGAGCTATTCTCAGGGATCTGAACCTCATAACGCGGCTGAGCAAATACAGGTGCATTGTCATTGATGTCTACTACAAGCACTCTGACTTGGGCAGTTCCAGACCTGGGTGGAGATTCCCCATCCAGCGCAGTGAGGGTTAAAATGATCTCAGACTGCTCCTCCCGATCCAAAATTTTATCCAGTACAAGCTCTGGATATTTCCTGCCTTCTGAGTCCCCTCGAATTTGAATGTGGAAATGAGAGTTGGGACTGATTGTGTAGTTCTGGAGACTGTTGTTTCCTACATCTAAATCCTGCGCATTTTCTAGTATAAATACAGTTCCAGGGGACTTGTTCTCGGGGACTTTCAGTACCATCTCAGTGTTTAGGAACGCTGGTGAATGGTCATTAATGTCTTCCACTATCAGCTCAGCCATAACAATCTGAAAGGGCTTTTCCAGTAAGATCTGGAAAGGCAGCACACAGGGTTCGGCAGGGCCGCACAGCTCCTCCCGATCCAGTTTCTCTCTCAGGAGCAGATCCCCAGTTCTATGGTTCAGCTGTAAATAATCTTTGTTCCCTTTGAAAATGACTCTGGCCCCCCGGTTTGACAGCTCCCCCACCTCCAGGCCCAGGGCCTTTGCCACATTGGCCACAAAGGAGCCTCTCTCCATCTCCTCCACTACTGAAAACTGCTGCGGCTCTGAGGCCGCCCCAGACACACCCAGCAGAACAAGAAGAAAGAGAACTTGCCTTTGTTGCGGAATCATTGTCCCTTCTGGGTCTGTTGCCCCTCCTCTCAGAGTAGCTTGGTTCGACCGCAAACAGTAGCCAAAGAAACCTCAGAAAAATGTAGATGCGGTCCAGTTCCCCATTTCCAGGTAACAAAGCTTCCCCTCTCCTTCCCGAGTGTCTGATTCAGGGCTGTCTTTCTGAGTCTTGGAGTATCCGTGTACCTCTCTTTGTTTCTTCTTAGTCTGCAGCACCACCATGTGGATCTGTCTTTACTCAGCATAGTTGACAATGTCATTCCTAAGGTTCTTGTTACATGATTTCAAAACATGAATTCTCCTCTGTATTTCCAAGGGATATACCTTGATCTTAGGGTGATCTGTATCAGTGTTGTATACACCCGGGAATGACACCATGTCCTGCTTTAGGGCAATTTTGATACATCATAGATCTAAGTATATTTTCAAGCTAGGAAAAGTGAAAAGAATGCAGGATTTCCAGGTCCTAAACGCAGCCATTAGGTCACTATAGACACATGATTGAGGTTGAGAAAATGCCGCAGACTCATCCAGGACGCCTACTGGCGATGACTTTCAGAGACTTTGAGGGAGTGTAAAAATAAATGGCAAGTGTGACGCAGGAAAGAATACATTTAGGCCTCTGTATTCGGCCTAAAAACTTTCTCCCCTCTAAGTACTTGAAGAGAATGCATGCATTTGATCAGTCCTGATCCTATAGTGCTGGTTATTAGAGACTCTACATAACAGAACAGATAGAAAGAATTGTGGAATCCTTCACAACAATGATGGGATATCACTTCCTTCTGCTTAACAGTTTGAGTTTATTTATTTTCCCTGGAAATCCATCCCCTGGGATCTGGGTCCAGGAGAATTTTTCTTTTCCTATAACAAAGGGCATCTCTTGGATTCATTGATCTGACTCTGAGCAGTAGGGAATAATTTAGAGTTTGTCTAAATTGGATTAGGAGGGAATATTCTATTGAATTAGAGGGAGTCAACATTCCCTGAAATCTTGCCTCTATCTATACTTGTGTAATATTGGGCAAGATATTTAATCTCCTGGGCCTCAGTTTCTTTATCCATAAAATGAGAGGGTTGGACCAGATGACTTCTTTGATCTCTTTGAGCTCTAGATCTATGATCTAGATATAGATCAATAATCTTTCCAGGTCTGAAATTCTGTGACCACATTCAAATGGTCTCACAATAGAGCCTCTTAAAGGCCAGGAACTTAGATATTATAAAAGCAAACCATTTGACCAAGGTGATAACACCCCTGGATTAGTTTATACTCTAAACAATGAGATTACTGAAATAATTTAAAAGATAGAAAATAAAGAAATATTTATGTGAAATGACTTTTTCTTTTTGGTCTATGGCTTCTTCAAGGACCTGCAAAGTAAGGAATTTTAGGAGAAAGGTATTACAAACCATACCTTGTATGATCTTTTATGATGTATCCTTTGAACAAATAAAGATTAGCTGTTGATAGTAATTTATGTTATTGGCAATTGAGAAATCACAGTACTGTGGTTCCTTCACAATTAGGTTTCATTTAAGCTAGATATGTTCCCTCTTCAGAATAATTCATTTCCATCCTTAGTTATCTTCATAAAGGTGTACTCTTCATAAAAGTATATTCTTAACATATTTTATATAAATTCCTTAGTGCTGATGAACATCAGGTACCATTGTTCAGAGAATACTTTCAATGATACTCAACATTACTACATTAATGCTAGATAATATGATAGGTACCAAGAAAAAGGAGTTATTGTAAAATTAAAATGACCAGAGGAAGGTTGTAAGATATTTGCAGGACAATTATGAAAATTTCATAATAAAAAAGTGAAAAAATCTAAAAGTGAACCAGACCTAAAAGAAAAAATAAGTGAACCAGACCTAAATTACCATTTAGGAAAGCCAAAATTATATTCATTGACATAAGGATGAAAACTAGATGGTATTTTTTTTCATTGATAAAGGAAAGGAAACCTGAGGACAAGAAGTCAGCAGAATCCAAGTTTGGGTAGCTTGGAACACATTTGTTAAATTAATTTAGAAAAATAATTAAATTATAAGTTTGAAATAGAAAAGAAAATATGTCACAGTTCATTCTTTCCTAATAGTAATAACAATGGGGAACAGCAACCTGGAGAAAATCCAAATATAAAAAGAGAACAAAAAGACTAAGGAAAGAAGGATTTGTAGGCTGAGAATGCAGAGAGAAGAGGAAAATGTATGTGAGGAGGAGGATGGGATGAAAAATATAACACAATAGCATAAAATGTCTGTTTTAATATGTTACAAGAAGTTGAAAACCAAGATTGGGAAGTTGATATAATTTGGTGAAATGCATCTTAAAACTACTTGAGGAAAATGCTATTCCTTAAGGGTGGATTTTCCATGAAGTTCTTCCCAAATGCCTAAGCAAAAGGAAGAGTGGGGATAATGGGCTTCAGGAACTTGTATTCTTTGGTCCCTGAGTCACTGGCCAGACACATCTCATACTGATAGCTCTGGCACAGGGTCGTGGTCCTGCTGACACCCATCAAGTGTCCCGGGAAGGGGCTACTTGGATCAAATAAAAAAACCATCACTGGTATCCCTCTTTCTCTTCTACAGGTGAATAATGAAAATAGTCATAGAGATCAGGAATAGAAAGGAGATGGAGGCCAGGGAAATGATCAGATAGATTGTGAAGGATTCAGTCTGGACCTGCTCCTTGGGTGCATCTGGGAGTTGCAGGTCAGGCTCAGAGAAGCCATCTGCCAAGAGTATGTTCAATACTCATTGCCTTTCATCAACACCAGGAGCTTGTGCTTGATGTCATCTCTGCCACTGATAGGCCTCCTTGTGCACACTTCCCAATTGTGGGCCCACAAAGTGAAGAGTCTTGGTCTGTGGCCTTGATCAGTTGGTAGGAAAGCCAGGAATTCTGTTGTTGGTCCCTATCCACAGCCATCATCTTGGTCACCAGGTAACTTGGCTCTGTAGCTCTGGGCACCAAGTAACTCAAAAGGGGGTACAGTATGAAGGGAGAGTTAGCATTCTTATCTAGGACCACAACCTGACCCAGAGCCTGGTTGCTCAGGATTGGGAAGCCACCATCAGCTGCCCTCACAGTGAACTAGAAAGCTTGGATGGCTTCATTATCTGGAGATCTCAGAGCATAGAGATGGCCATTGTCTGAGTTGATGGCAGTGTAGAAGAAGGGCAGGTCTCCAGTCTCTGGAGGCAGCAAGGAGTAGGTGACTTTAGCATTGATTCTTGAGTTCCTGGCATTGGCACTGACACTGCTAATGTGGAGGGTGGAACTGTTATTCTCCTGGAGGTACAGTTTGTAGACTTTCTCAGTAAAAAATGGGGAGTTATTATTGATAGCATAGATGAGCACCATGATATTATGCTCAGATTTGAGCTTCAGAGATCCCAAATCCGTGTCTGTAATAGTGATGTTATATTCAACCCTGCTTTCTGTCCAGTGTTCCCTCTTTTACCAATGAATAGAAGTTCTCAACTTAAGGTTTCAGGGCAAAGGGAAGATCACCCTGGATGGAGCAAACCATATTTCTATTTCCCCCAGAGTCCAGATCTGAAACGCTGAAAACAGCAGCTAGGGTCTCCAGCTGAGTTTTCTGGGACAGGGCTGGTAAGTGAAGACATGGTCAGCTCAGAGGAATTGTCCTTCAGATCCATCATTTCAACAATTACAGTACCTTCTCCAGCAAGGCTCGTTCTGTGTATGGCCTGAATATTATGGTGTAAGACTGAATTTACTCAGAATCTACTTTCTCTCTTAGACAAAGTTGCCTGGAGTTCTTAAGTTGAAAAGTTTTATGAATGTTTTCAGAGGAATGTAAATTCGTATAGGATATTTCTACATTATTTCCTATGTCTAGATCTGTGGCTCCAATTGTGACAACCTAGTATCCAATGGGCCTGTTCTCAGGGATCTGAATCTTGTACTGAAACAGAACAAATACAGGTGCATTATCATTGATATCGACTACAAAGACTCAGACTAGGGCAGTCCCAGATCTGAGTGGCTGCACCATCCACTACAGTGAGAGTTATCTGACCTCAGGCTGCTCCTCCTGATCCAATGTTTTATCTAATATAAGCTCTGACTATTTCTTTACCCTTCTGCTGTTTCAAAATTTAAAATGTGGAACTGGAAGTTAGGGCTGATTGTATGATTCTAGAGACTGTCGTTTCCTACATCTAAATCTTGTCCACTTTTCAGCAGGAAAAAAAGTCCTGGGAAAGGTCCTCTCAGGAATTTTCAAGATTGTCTCAGTGCAATGAATGATCTCACACTGGTGAATGATCATTAATGTCTTGTACCATCAACTCAGCCCAAACAATCTGAAAGGGATTTTTTAGTAAGATCTGGAAAGACAACACACATGGAGCAATGGGGCTGCACAGCTCCTCCTGGTCCATTTTCTCTCTCAGGAGCAGATCCCCTCTTCTGGCTGCAAATACTCTTTGCTCCCTTTGAAAACGCCTCAATCTCCATAGTTAGAGAGTTGTCTCACCTCCCACCCCAGGGCTTTTGCCACACTGGCCACAAAGGAGCCTCTATCTACCACCACCATTTTCTCTACCAGTAAATATTGCTCCAAATCTGAGCCTGTCTCAGAAACATAAAGCAAAAGAAGAACTTGCCTTAGCTGGCTAACTGAAGAGCTTTCCACAGTCATTGTTTATGGTGACCTCCACCAAAAAATAAGATCCATCTAAGGTGCAGTCTCAGTAGCTTATTCTTTTGATGAGTTAGTTGAAATCTGGGAATACAAGAGCACATGAAGCCTTCTCACCCCCTTCCCAGACTTGCGCTAATAAAGCTTTTCTTCTCTTTCTTCAGCATCTGATATCTGTGTCTTTTTGTTTGCATCCATTAATATATGTAGTACCTTTCCTTCTCCTTAGTCTGTAGCACCAGCTTGAGTCTTCTGCAAAAGATTCATTCTTTCCCTTACAAAATTATGGCTGCACTTGATAACGCTATGAAGGTGTTTAGGGCAGCTAGGCAGCACAGTGGGTAAAGAGCCAGGCCTGGAGTCAGGAAGATTCCTCTTCCTGAGTTCAAATCCAGCTTCATACACTTCGCTGTATGATTCTGTTATTTGACCCAGTTTGCCTCAGTTTCCTCATCTGTAAAATAAGATGAAGAAGGAAAGAGCAAACCATCTCTGCCAAGAAAATGAGTGGGATCCCAAAGAGACAGACATGACTATAAGTATTTAGTATGTGATATTAAGCATTTAATTAATAACACATTGAATAATAACAGCCTATATTGATAGGACCTTTTAAGATTTGCAAAGTGTTATTTACACTTTATCTCATCTGATTCTACCTGTGAAGTAGGTACTACAGGTTTTTAAGGATGAGAAAAATGATGGTTCAAGAGATTAAGTGACTTTCATAGCCAGAAAATCAGCAAGTAAAGGAAAAACACTATTGTCTCCACATGTCCAATCCAGCAAACCTTCACTATGCTATATAAAATTTGTATTTCAAAGAATTAGTACTTTCATCTCTAAAAATGGAAATGAAGAAACATTCTATTTTTCTGGAACTTTGCCCCACACTTCTAGATGGTAATTATTTTTCAGATGATGGGGGTAGGGGAAAGCTCATAAATGCAGAGAAGCAAATAACACATCTCCCTATAGTGGAAAGAGCACTGAATTTGAAGTCAGAGGATCTGGGTTAAAATCCTGGCTGTGTTACTATTTGTGTGATCTTAGGCAAGTCACAGCACTTTTGGAGCCTCATTTCCTCAAATATAAAAGGAGGAGGTTGGTCTAGATCACAAGTTTTTTACTTGTTTTTTATATGGACCTCTTTAGCAGTCTGGGGTCAGGTTCTGGACCCCTCCTCAGAATAATGTCTTTAAATGCATAAGGTAAAATAAGTCAGATTACAAAGGAAATAAAATATATTGAAATACAGTTGTAAAATTCTTTGAAGTTACAGATATCAGGTTAAGAACTCCTGGTGTGAATCTCTAATGTTCCCTGTACCTCTAAACCCATTAAAATATGTGAAACTGCAAACCATGTAGGGTCTGCCAAATCATTGATGCAGCTACTGGGTATAGGCCAAATGAGAGACAAGAAGACTTAGTTGTCTTAGCAAAGCCATGCTCTAGTACCAAAAAGATCACCTGACTGATCTGTAAAAAGGCCACAAGATGGGGCAGCAGTGAAGTGAAAGCCAAGGCCCTGGTAGGCTAAAGGACTCATATGTACTTTTTTCTGCTTTGTTGGGTTTCCATCAGCTGAAGTTTTCCCTCCAGTTCACGTTGGTGAGACTAGTTCATGAGTTATCTGAGCTATCCTTTCCTATCTGCTTCAGCTGGGTCATTTTTTGGTGAAGTAAAGTCTGTTATTCTGCACAATTGGAATTCTGGAAGAACTTTCTGAAGCAGATTCATTATCCTATTATCCCTTCATGTGAGTTGGCTTCTTTCCCTTGAAACACACCTGTCTGAGTCTGGATTGAGGAAACCTTATGTCATTTGTATTTTCCAAGAGACTAAGAATCACTTGACAAGTAACCTGTTAGTCAAGAGGGAAACAGGAGGGGAGAGGTGGAAGTGACTAAAATTGGTTAGATTGGGGGGGGGTGGTGGTAGCTTGGATGACATATGCTTTCAAACTTTGCTCAGTCAGCTTTCTTCCGAAAACACGTCTACAAGATTACCTTCTCACCAAATTTGTTGTGCTGGGGAAGAGAATTTTCTGGGATAGGGAAGAGAAGATCTAGAACTTCTGCATCAGCCCCTGAATCCTGAAAAAAGTCCCTGAGTGGGAGCATCCTCATTGTACAACAGATAAAGGTAACAATCTACTGTGAATCTGTACTTTTGTAAAATAGCCGCAGGAAAACCAAAAGAAAAGAAAGGACTTACCTTCCTAAAGGATTGGCTAATGTTGACCACTTGAGAGTGCTTTAGCTTTGGGACTTCCCCCTCACCAATCGTCATATTCCCTGTGTTAGCTTTTAATACTTCAGACACATGTGAATACCACTTGAGACAATTGAATCTTTTCTAAGTTTGGTGATAACTTAAAATATCCTTCATTCTTGATGAAGGTGTCTGTGATTGCCCATTTCCTTAAACTTTTTACAATGAAATTTGTATCTTTTGTGAATATTTGTAAATATTTTCTTAAATAACAAATTTCTCATAGATTCATATCACCTCATATTTGGAAGGGACCTCAGAAGTCATTTAAGATCATAGACATAACTAAAAGGGATCTTAGAGGGTAGTCTAACCTCTTCCTTTGAAGATGAGGAAACTGAGGTCCAAGAGACTAAGTGACTCTTCCAAATTCATAGAGGTAGAAAGTGGCAAATTAAGGATTCTAACCCAAGTTAATCTGCTTCCAAACCAGGAGCTCTTGATTTCATCAATCTACTTCCACTTGTCCATCCCTTACCTAAAGCGCAAGTGACTCTAAAACTTTCCTGATAAATTGTCATAAAACCTTAGCTTGAAATCTCCAGTTTTTGGAAATACATTATTGCCTAAAGAAGTCCATTACATTTTAACACCTCTAATTGTTATGTCATTCCTCTATAGACAAGCAGATAAAAGATTTTAATATCTAGTTCTTGAAAAAAAAAAGATGGAGAGGCCATAAAAAACAACATAAAGTATTCCAACTTTCTATGAATCAAAGCAATTTAATTTAAAACAACTCTGAGACATCATCTTACCTCCACTATATTGACAATGATATGATGATAGACAAAAATGATAAAATTCAAAGCTAGTGCAGCTGCAGGAAAACAGGCACAAGTCCTATATTGCTATAAGAATGTAAATTGAAATAATACTTTGGAAAGCAAATATCACACAATGATAGCTACAAAACTCACTCTTTGAACCATTGATCCCACTACAGACCAAATATTAAGAGTGTTACTGGATGGAACAAAGTTTCAATTGGACAAAAATATTCCTACCAATATAATTTCTAATAAACAAAAACAAAACAACCCTGGAAACAAAGTGCCCAATGATTCTGGAATAACAGCCAATTGTGACATAGGTATTTAATGAAATCTATTATAATGCCAAAAGAAAAGGCAATATGAAGAATACAAATAAATATGGAAAAAGTTAAATGAAGTAATGCAAACTATAAAAAGAACACCCCAAACAACAATTACACACTATATAAAACTATGTACATAATTATGATGATAATAAGACAGCATTAAAATAAAAATACATAGAAGGAAAAAAAGTTATTCAAAAAGTGATCCAGAAGCAAACATAAAAATTCTTATTACCTTTTAAAAAATTTTTAACATATGCTTTCATTTTTTGAATCATGGAAATTTTCCATTTTATGTAACAGTCTTAAGATTTATTTTTATTTGAATATTTGCTTTGGTTATGGCAAATTTGACACAATCTATTCAATTCTTCTATCCTTTACTATTCAGAGGGCCATGAAAAGTCATGAGGAAAAAATATTATTAAAAAAATCAATTCATCATACTAAATTCTACTTTACAGGTAGAATTCTACTTTACAATCTAAGTCCCACATATTTCTGGGTCATGTTGGTCTTACAGTAAAGGATATTAGTTTTTGTCATTAATTTACAATGCTACTGAAGCAACTGGAGATCAAATGGGTGTGCTCTCTTCTCGGAGAAGTATTGAATTTCTGCAAAACTTGACACATTAGCTCTTTGGAATAACTTGCCATGTAGAGTGATTTTTGTTAATTGCCTCCATAAAGGAAAATGATACAGTTTATAGAGTGCTGTACCTGGAGACAAGACAGATTTGAGTTCAAATCTGGCTTTAAACACCAACTAGATGCATGATCGTGTGTCAGTCACTTAAACACTGCCTCAATTTCCTCATCTCTAAAATGTGGATAATAATAGCACAATAGATCCAATGGTTAATTGTAAAAGAACTGATCGCATGGGCTATGGTTATATAGAAGTAGTTTCATCTCTCAGAACCAAAGGCTGAGATCTAATAGTAGCAGTGAAGCAGAAGCACATGTTTCCTCATTATCTTTTTGTGAGTGTTCCACCCAAAGTTTGTATGCTATCAATAAATCACTAGTTAGATTAAAGATAAAAAAGGGACTAATGCAGTCTTAGAAAACGTATTCTAACAAGGAATACAGATTAAGAGAGTTAATGTAGTCTATGGCAGAGAAAAAGTTTTAGTATCCTAAATGAAGTCTGTGAATTTAATTGCATCAAAAATGTTAAAATCCAAGTTTGAAGTGAGGATGAAAAATAAAGTATCTCGTTCATTCCTAGAAATAGATTTGGGACTAGCATAACCTGGACAAAATTCAAATACAGAAAGAAAACAAAAAAAAATCAGAGAAACAGTAGCAGGGGAAAGAACATGAAAAATTATATTACCTATGTTTTTAAAATAAATTCTTCTCTGTCACAGTAAGATAGAAAATAAAAGGATAAAAATAATGGCAAAACATAATGGCAATGCATTGTAAAATATTTCTATCCCTAATTGAAGTCACAGCTATTCCTGAAGGATGGGTTTTCTTCCAAATCCCTCCTATTATCCTGAGCAGGGATCCTGGGGATAATGGGCTTCAGGAATTTGAATTCACTGGTCCCTGAGCCACTGGTCAGACACACCTCATAATGGTAATTCTGGGACAAGGTCCCTGTCCCATTCACCAAGTAGCCTGGGAAAGGACCATTTTGATCAAATTGATTACCATCTCTAGCATCCGTATTCCTCTTCCACAGGTGAATGGCAATGAACATAATAACAGAGAACAAGAAAAGACAGGAGACAGAGGCCAAGGAAATGACTAGGTAGGTGGTAAGAGAGGCAGTCTGCACCTCCTCCTTGGTTGCATCTGGGAGCTGAATGTAGGGCTCAGAAAAGCCATCCACCAGGAGCACATTCAGTGTGGCTGCTGTGGACAGAGGAGGCTGTCCATTGTCTTTCACCAGCACCAAGAGCTTCTGCTTGATGGCATCTCTGTCACTGATGGGTCTTGCTGTTCGAACTTCCCCATTGTGGGCCCACAAAGTGAAGAGTCCTGGGTCTGTGGCCTTGAACAGCTGGTAGGAAAGCCAGGAATTCTGTCCCCAGTCCCTATCTACAGCCACCACCTTGGTCACCAGATAACCTGGCTCTGCAGCTCTGGGCACCAGGTCATGGCAAGGAGCTGTGCCATTCTGAGGAGGGTACAGCACAAAGGGAGAGTTGTCATTCTCATCTTCTACCAAAACCTGAACCAGAACCTGGCTGCTCAGAGATGGGGAACCACCATCAGCTGCCCTCACATTGAAATGGAAAGCTTGGATGGCTTCATAATCCAGGGATCTCAGAGCATAGAGATGGCCATTGTCTGAGTTGATGGAGATGTAGGAGAAGAGGGGCAGTTCTCCAGTCTCTGGAGGTAGCAGGGAGTAGGTGACTTTGGCATTGATTCCTGAGTCCCTGTCACTGGCACTGACACTGCCAATGTGGAGGGCAGGGCTGTTGTTCTCCCGGAGGTATAATTTGTAGGCTCTCTGAGAAAACACTGGGGGATTGTCATTGACATCAGAGATGAGCACAGTGATATTGTGCTCAGATTTGAGCCTGGGAGATCCCAAATCTGTGACTGTAATAGTGATGTTGTACTCAGCTCTGCTCTCTCTGTCCAGTGCTCCCTCTGTTACCAATGTATAGAAGTTCTCAACAGAAGGTTTCAGGACAAAGGGAAGATCATCCTGAATGGAGCAAACCACCCTTCCATTTTCTCCAGAGTCCAGATCTGAAACCCTGAAAATAGCTACCACAGTCTCAGGTGAATTCTCTGGAATGGGATTGGTAAGTGAGGACATGGTCAGTTTGGGCAGATTGTCATTCAGATCTATCACATGGATTAGGACTGTGCATTTTCCAGAAAGGCCTCCACCGTCTGTGGCTTCAATATCGATTTCATAATATTGAGTTGCTTCGAAATCCACTGTTTTTTTTAGTGAAATTTTGCCTGAAGATCGATCTATTTTAAAAGTTTTGCGAATGTCTTCAGAGGCATAGGAAAATGTGTAAAATACTTCTCCATTATTTCCTGTATCTAAATCTGTAGCATGCACCACCACAACCAGAGAGCCTGGGGGGCTATTTTCAGGAATCCTCACATCATAGTTCTGTCGCTCAAACTCAGGGGTGTTATCGTTGACATCCACTATGAGTACTCGAATTTGGGCAGTCCCAGACCTGGGCGGGGACCCACCATCCAAGGCAGTGAGAGTTAATCGGATCTCAGGCAGTTCCTCTCGATCGAGAGCTTTGCTCAACACCAGCTCTGGGTACTTCCTGCCGTCATTGCGTGCACGTATTTGAACTTGGAAATGGGAATTAGGGCTGATAGTGTAGTTTTGGAGACTGTTGATCCCAGCGTCCAAATCCTGTGCACCATCTAAACGGATTATCTTTCCAGGAGGACTGCTCTCAAGGATTTTCAGGAGCATCTCCTTGTCCAGGAACATAGGCGAATGGTCATTTATGTCTAGTACTAACAGCTCAGCCAGAAAAATTTGAAATGGGTTTTCTAGTAATATCTGGAAAGGTAATATGCAGGAATCGGTAGGCCCACACAATTCCTCCCGATCCAGTTTCTCTTTTATGAGTAGATCCCAGGTTTCACGATTGAGCTGCAAATACTGTTTGTCTCCTTTAAAAGAGACCCGGGCGCTCCTATTAGATAGCTCCCCCATTTCTAATCCCAGGGCTTTAACCACATTGCCTGCGAAAGAGCCACTTTCCATTTCTTCTGCCACAGAAAACCTCCCAGGCTCCGAACCCGCCTTAGACATGCACAGCAAAACAAAGAAAAGCAGAACTTGCCTTTGTCCCCGAATTGTGTTCTTGTCTGCTTCCATGCTGACCCCTTTAAAAATATTGTTGGTTTCTCTCAATCCACACCTCTGGACACTACGATAGACTGTGGATAAATAACTCCTCCTGGGGGCCCTGCTCTCCACCAGCTCCTGCTAACAAAGCTTGCTTTCTTTGGCCAGTTGGTGCCAGTCTGAGACAGAGTAATGGAGGATGCAGGATTTCTTTTTTGCAGTCATCAAATCAGAGAATCAAAAGGAGAATCAGTTATTCTCCTTATCCTGCAGCGCCACCATGCGACCTGATTGAGAATTTTACTTTCTCAATCCAATTTTCAATGGCATAAAGATTTCTGTCTCAGGCAGATAATACTTTATGTGTTTAGTTTTCAAAGGGAGGTATTGAGTTCTGGTTGTAATTAAAAGGGCGTGTTATTTGATTTTTCCATGGGAACCACATGCTAACATCACACAAATGCACAAATTATTACAGAGAGTTATATGTAACTGTAGCAGGCATGGGACACCTGTGCTTTTACAACATCTGAATCTCAGTGAGAACAATTTCAGAATTGGAGAAGACCATAATTAAGCAGAAAGTAGAATTCACAACTAATATAAAGGATATTATGTTTCCTCTCAGTCTTCTCAGAATAAGAAGAGGCATTTCTCCTTTTTTCAGTTTTAGTCACATTGATGTAATAACAGGAAATGTCAAGAGTCTTTATTCTAAAAAAAAATCTCAATGCAACAATCAGAGGATAATGAATAGGATACTGAGATGGTTCTGAATCCACAGGTTATTAAAGTAATCATTTTATCTTTACCACTCTTCTCAGTGTAAGTCTTTTACAGTATTCCTTGTAGCTTTTCCATGTAGTTGGCTGCAAGCCTAAGTGTGATCCATCTGCCAAAAATTATTTTGCATTCTTTGGTTGCATGGAAAGGAGAGCCACTGCAATTTTCATTTGTCTAATCACATGTTTTTCCAAAAATATTGTTATTGGTGACACTAGTTAAGAGGAACATTAAAAAAAACTGGAGTTTATCCCATGGTCATATTAGGAAAAACTGAAGAAATGAGAAAAGAGAAGATGACTTTTGGTATGAGTACGGGGGGTGGGAGGGGAGAATACATCGTTAGATATTTGAAGGGTTTTCAAACAGAAAAATGATTAGACTTCTGTGTAGATTCCAGAGACAAAACTAGGACCATTGGGTGGAATATACAAAGAGACATATTTTAGGTGAAATTGAAGAATTTTCAAAAATTGAAAGTTTAAAGTGGAATAAATTGCAATGTGAGGTAGTAAATTCTTAATCACTGGAAGTATTCAAGAAGATTGTATGAACACCTGGTAAGGGTGTAGGAGGGTGAATATCTTCATAATTGGGGGTGTTGAACTAGACAACATTCTCTGTTTCCTTGAAAATACAACATTGCAGGATATCTCTGATGCATTTGGTTCCAGTTGGTCATGTTCTTTGGAAATCCACTTCAACATTGTATTGAAATCTTGAAATCTGTTCCTTGAACAGGGAAGCATTTTTGTCTTAGCTTAAAAAATATATTAGCTGAAATAGGGAAACACAGAAGATGCCAAAGAAGAGAAGGCAGAATGGAAAGATTGATGACTTGGGTAATAGAAGATTAGAGTTTCAGTCTGGGTTGCTAATGAACTTTGAAATTTTGAGCAAGGTATTTACTTTCTCTTTACCTGTTTTCTCATTTGTAACATGAAAGAGTTGGATCTCTATCATTCCTTCCAACTCCAATATTTTACAACTATGTTATTTCTAAGGATAAAGGAAAGAAAAAGAAGATAAATATTCATAAACATTTTAATACATTAGTAACTAGATTATCTGGTTTGTAACAGAAATGTAACTAGGATGGGAAAATGAAGAAATTATCACTCTGGAATTAGAATAAGGGTTTTCCTCCCTATCCCAGCACCACAGCTCTTCAGTTTCAAGACTTGAATTCACTGCTTCCCAATTGACTGGTCAGACATACTTCATGCTGGTAGTACAGGACAGGCTCCCAATTTGGATGTCATCCAGAGGGCCGGGAAGAGTCCATTTGGCTGAAGTATTTCCAGTCTGCAATGTGTTTCTTTTTCTTTCATTGGTAAAGAAGGATGAACATAGTATAACTGGTAGAAGTGCAGAGAAATGACAAGTAGAAGATGCAAGTAGAAGATGAGGTTGTCATAGGATTTCTTACCATTACTGTAGGATATCTTATGGAGAGTCATAATAGCTATATTTGACGTGCTTTTGCTCTCTTTGTCTATTATTCCCTGGGTTACCAAGTTGTAGTAGTTCTCCACAGGAGATTTAGGGCAAAATTCTCTTATCCATGTGGCAAACCAGCCTTCCTTTTTCCCCTGGGTAATTCTCCTTAAATAGAGGAGGCAATATGAACTGCACCAGTGATTTCATTGGAATATGGAACTTCCTGGTGAGGAAAATCCCTGGATTACTGCAGGTAACTACCATCTCAGCAACTAAGAGTCTTAGAGAATTGCCTAAAGCACTGGGTGGTAGGGACTATCGCAGGGTCACACCCAACCAGTTAAGTGTCAAAGTTGTAACTTGAACCCAGATCTTCCCATCTCTGAGGCTACTACTATTTTTCTTTCAGCTGTAATCTCGGAATACAGTTTTTAAAATAGCCTCAGGCTAGCTCTTGAGATGCTAAATGATCACCTGGTCAGCCAAAAGAGATAATCCTTAGGATTAAAAATCAGAACGAAAAAGATCCCACACTTGTCCCGGCTGTTACAGGGCTTCACATTTACAGTTAAATGGAAATGCTTCATAAATCAAGTGCACTCTGAGAGATCACCAAATATTGAATAGTTTTCAGAAAGTTACTGCTTTTCAAAAAGGTGACTGCCAGCGTCACGAAGAGAGTAGTAAATAGGAAAGCTATTTCTCCATGATTTTTGTCCATTCTCATTAAGTTCCACAGACTCGATGAGGACTTGGGAAGTTCTGGACCTGGGTGCAGAGACGCCACCCACCCTGGACCAGACGGTTTGTCGGTATTTAGCACTAATTCGACGTAAATTTTGCCCTCTGCTCTAGCTCCAATTTTATTGTGAAAATAGAAGCCGGGGTTCTGATCAGCTATTTTGGGATACTGTTGCTTTCTAGTCTATGTTCAGTGCAGTTTCAAGCTGTGGCGCAATTCGAGGAGTGTTGCTTTCACGGATGTTCTGGGGGAGTCTCTGAATCCAGGAATACGAGCATTTGTGTCTCAGTCTGGATGAAGTGCAAAGAGTTTTCCAGTAAGACACAGAGTTTGGAGAGACAGCTTAGCTCCTACCAGTCGAGTTTCTCCTTTTAAAAGCACTTTCCCGTCTCTCAGTCTCACAGTTAAGCTGCAAATACGCTTTGTTATGTATGCTTTGAGAGAACCCCGTTTTCCAGGCTGACAGCTACCCCACCTCCAGTCCCAGGGCCTTTGCCCCATTCGCAACCAAGGAGCCTCCTTAGGCTCCAAACCCACATCGCCCACGCGCATCAAAATAACCAGAAGCAGTATTTTCCTTACCCGCCGAGCTGTGTCTAGCATAACCTTCATTGTCCCTTTCTGGACGCGTCCTTCAGATAAAAATACATTCTCAGTTATTCAGTGAGGAGTTTTAGATCTAGTCCCAATTCACAGTGTTGTTTTGCTCTCAGGAAGCTTCGGTCTTTCCGGAAAGACAGTAGTTTTTCCCTGTGATGGAGGCTGAGAGGCGGAGCGTTCGGTTCTCCTTAGCCTGCAGTGCCACCAGGCGTCGGAACACTCAATTTAATATTTTCATACAAAAGGCACTTTTAAAAGAGGTGCACAGTACATAAGCCAAAGACTCTTCAGGTAATTTAAATTGTATGTTTTGGGAGAAAGGAGTAGGTTTTGCAGCCTATTTATTTAGTTCTTATGAACATGAGAATTGCCAATGTACTTCTCTTGGCCAGTCACACTCTTTATTTATGCTCGCAGCTTCAACTTATCTGTATGTGGAAGAGACCAAATCTCTATTTCTTTAATTAGTATATTATTATACTAAATAGCCATCCAATAACAAAAATGTGCATGCATATGCATATACACAGGGCAAAGCAGAAAAAATAATGTAAATAAATGCTTAACCATAAATATGGGTAACTTGCAGTTTATTTTAAAAGTGTGTCACTGTTGGGGGAGCTGTGAATTGACTCAACTCTCTGGAACCAGTTTGGAATTAAGCTTTTTAAAAGTGACTAAATTGTCCATACTTTTTGTCCTGGAGATCCCACAATTAGGCATATATACCTATATACCAAGAAGTCAAAGACAGAGAAGTCTCATGTACATCAAAATATTCATAGCAGCCCTTTAGTAGCAGCAAAGAAATAGAAACTAGGTCGATGTACATGGACTAGGAAAGGGCTAAACAAGTAATGGTAGATGGATATGAAAATGTGTTTTTGTGAAGTTAGAAATGATAAATATGAAGAATTCAGAAAATCGTGCTGGGACTTATATGAACTGATTGAAAGTGAAGTAAGTAGAATGAAGAAAACAATAAGCAAATAGAAAGAACAAAAATAAAAATTATGCTGTTATAATGACCAAAGTTGGCTCCAGAGAAGTGATCCATCAATCAATCAAATATCAATTATTAAGTGCCTATAATGTGCCAGACACTGTGATAACTGTTTGTGTTATCAAAAAAAAGGGGGGGGGGACAAATTCCCTGCTCTCAATGATTCTATTAAATGAGGCAAGATGAACACACATCTGCATACATGTATACACATATGCAATATATTTACAAAATAAATATAAAATAATTAGCAGTGGTCGTGGAACTCCACAGCTGTGGGAAGCAGGAAAAGGCAACATTTGACCTATCTCAAAGGAAACTAGGAATTCAGAACGGTAGGTGAAGAGAAATCTCCTAGACATGGAGGACAGTTGGTGTGAAAGATTTGACATAACTAAAGTGTCATGAGGAACAGTACAAAAAAACCCAGTTTATCTGGAATGTAGAGTACATGAGGTTAGAAAAGTGAACTGAGGCCAGATTGTGAAGAGATGATAAAATGTACTTCCTTCCCCACTTTGAACAGGTAGAGGGTGTAGAATACTGCCTATATAATAATGGCCATTCCATAAAGCATGTTAGGATGATAGACCATTGTCTTGGCCACTTGTAATGACACATATTATCTGAACTTTTCATGAAGCACTGAGAACAAGATTTGGCACCTCTAAATAAGATGTGAAAAACATCATGGTAAAGTGGAGAGGGCACTGGATTTGCACATTACTAAGGGGAGTCTTGGTTCCATCACTACACTCAGCTGGTGGCACAGTGGATTATTTCATTTGATTCTCACAATAACCCAGGAAGATAGGTGCTATTATTACCCTCATTTTACAGTTGAAGAAATTGAGGCATATAGAGGTTAAGTGATTTGTTCAAGGTCACACAGCTAGTAAATGTCTGCAGCTGGATTTGAACACAGTTCTTCCTTACTCCAGACCCAGCACTTTATCCACTGTGAAACCAGCTGTACATGTTTGCTACATGAGGCTTTTTTGGGGGGAAGGGGTTCTTTATTTT